ATAAAAAAGCATAATGGACTTGGATGGCTTACATTACCATGTTAAGAGGCGATTGGGGGTTATTTGGTAGTGTATTGCGGAGGCAATCTCTTCAGGTTTTAAAGGTTTAGAATTTAAGGTATCCCAAACTCTTAACTACCTTAAAATTCGTTTTTTTTTCTTTTTTGGGGAAAATATGGGGCAAATGCCTAACCCATATTTCATGTTTGACCAACCTAGGCTTAAACATGCTTATTTGATCTTTGTACAATAAATCCTGTAATTCTCTTGAATGACCCCATAAAAAAGACAATCTTCCTTCTTACTTCAAGCTTAAACTAGCTAAGTAATTGGTATAACAATTACCTTCCCTTTAAGTGTTCACCCTCCATCTTCTCAGAATTTATCCCTCAAATGTTTCTGGTGGGGTGGAGAGTGGGACTCTTTCGAGTCTATTTACTCAGGCAAGAGTATATTGTAGTAAGCATTTCTCATACCTTTTCAATTATCAAATTTTAAGGATTTGACATAAAACACACCTTTAAAATTTGATCCCACAATCTCTTTTACTTAGCGAAGAAGTGGACAATAGTGGTACTCCTGAGCTAATTAGCACTTGAAACTGAACATATGTATTATATATTTTTTGAATCATATGTTCTACGTTTTTATTTTAAAGCAATTGTATTTGTATTTATTATTTATTTATTGTTGTTTCTATTTAACAGAAATGAGATGAGATTCTTATTTTGCAAGCCAAAGTGAGAAGATGCAGACTCGGAGTCAATTGCAGGTCAATATGACAAAAGAAATGTTAAAAAAAGGGGGAAGGAGAAAACACAGGTCGGTTGAAATTGACAACTTAACTTATTAAATTTACAAGTAATTTTATCCAAAAAAGAAGAAATATTTTCACTTACTAAAGACTCCTTTGACAATTGTCCTGTAAAAATTTATAACTAATAAAAACTGATACAATCAGGGTCCCTGCGACTGACAAATGCATCACAGGCCCTACCAAGAGTACTTTTTCATAGGGACAAAGTAGGATGAAGTAATAATAATTTTTTTAAAAAAATAAAAATTATTTTTTTTATTAAACATTCCATAAAATTCGTTATCTATTCAATAATATTTATAGCCGTGCTACTTCTTTGACATTTATTCTCGCTATTTGTTCCGTACTAGACTAAAAATTTAATAATATTAATCGAGTTTATTTTTCGTTAAACACAAAAATTGTTCCCTACTAGCTACTAATTTTAATTATCCCTGAACTGTTAAGGTTTCCATTAGCAAATTAAACAATACTTAACAAATAGGGTTTCTGATTTGCCACCTGTTTTGATGGATGTCAGCAGGGAACCAATTATGAATTTTGGACTCTTGCGTTCGTAACTGAATGTCCTACGATTTGAACAATTGGACTGATCAATCAAGTCACTCCCACGCTGGTCAAGGAAAAAAAATGAAGTCACCCCCACTGGCATTAGTGGCCCATGGCACTGGGAAAGCGGTTAGGGGAGGGGAAGAGACAAAACAGAAAAGGCACTTGGTTTGTATGATACTTAATTTAATAGCTGGTCGATAAAAAAGCATCACTGTGATGTTGTCTCGAGTATTTATCTGTATTTTTCAAGATACGTGAAATTAGATCGATCATTAAATCGATCATAATACTGGATAGTTAGTAGTTTAATTAGAGTTGAATTGAGATTGAACCGGTGACAAACTGATCATGATCAAAATAATATAATTTAAATAAAAAAATATTAATTATAAAAACATTCAACCAAATTTAATCACTCAAAAGTCTAACAACAATAAAATATTATATTTTTAGACTTAGCATGTTCTGCCTCTAATTTTTTATTTTTTGATTTTAATTTCACTTTTTGTTGTTATCTTATTTTTGAATTTAGAGCTTTGAAAAATTAAAAATAAAAAAATAAAAAACAACGTCATTTTAGGGGTAAAAATTTGAAAAAATAATAACCCAGTTAACCCAGTCAACTCGTCGGGTTATCCGGATTATACCGGGTTGAACTCGGGTCGATCGAGTTATACCGATTCACTTCCTCACTGGGTTAAGAGTAAACCCAGATCGAACAAAGGAGCGGGTCACCAATTTCTAAATTGACCCAACTGGTCTGATCTGATTTTAAATACCATAATATTTTCTTCTCAGATATCATGTGTCACGAGGGAGTACAATTATTTAGGTCTATTTATTTGATGCACGAGTGTAAAAAAAGGGTAAAAGTAAAAGAGGGTGTGTCAGGATAAAAGAGAGACGGTTGATAAAAGTTAACTATCATCAAGAAACAACATCAAAATTACATAAAATAATAAAAAAATAAAAAAATAATTAAAAATTAAAAATTTATAAACAATAATAATACAAAAAATATAGAAAATAATCAATAAAATTTTATTGATAATTTTCTGTAATCCTTTAATCAACTGAGATCAAAATTAATATTTGTTAATTACAAATGCTATATTACATTATTTTAAAGTGATAGAAGAGACTAAAAATAAATTTAAAATTTTAAAGGCTCATAAATTTATAATTTAAGGATGAATGTATCATTGAACCCTAAATAAAAGATTACTTGTTTTGTATTATTCGTGGCACCATTTGTTTTGTTCTTTGCCTTGTATTCTTATCCGAGCCGATCTCGATTCTCGGAATGAATTTTATCTTAAACTATGTTTTTACCACTCTCTCTGTTTTATTCATAGTTATCTTTAACTAACTCACTTGATTACTAAAGTTTGTTTAAATCAATTATCAGTTATTATTTTTAAAACTATTTCCATCTTTTCAAACATAACACGAGCTAAATATGTTAAATAAATTCTATCCAATCTTACTTGTTTCTTCTTTTTTTATTGCTCATGGGATTTATATTCAAAATATTATCGAGCACGAACATTTTTCAAAGCAAATATTCGAATCTCATTTCTTTATTCTTTCTCCAACTGGACTACTCAATAATATTTATATTAAAATATATATTTAAATATTTTATATTAATTAAGTAATTATTTCATAAATTTTGTAGAATAACTTATAAATACAGATACATAGATAGATATATGCGTCTCAATTCTAGAAAAATCAACTTACAAAACACAAGCAGGGTGCTATGATGAGGCCAAAGGATGTTCTACCCCACTCGTGTTTACTGCTGAGGCATTGCATTGTATCTGCTTACCATCAAACTTTGCTCCTAATAAAAATTGATAAATATCACCTCAAACTTTTAAATACTAATTCTTGAAAGGATAAACATAATTTTTGATCTTTATATTTTATTTATGTTTTTTTTAATCCTTATATTTTTTTTATATTTTAAATCTTTATACTTTTATTTTATATTTTTTTTGTTCCTCCATGAGCAAATCATAGGAATCTTGAAAAGATTTAAAATAATAAAAAGTAAAAGTGTAGAAATACAAAATATTAAAAAAAGTATAGAGACTAAAAATAAAATGCGAATAAAATATAAGAATTAAAAGTTATGTTTATTCTTTATGAAATAAAAACTTTAAAAAAAATCTTATATTCAAAATCATAGAAAGCAGGAAACAAGGCTTCATAGTTCAGTTCTCATATATGATACTTCCTTCATCTCAAATTATGAAATGTTTTTAAAGAGGTTTGACATTTTAAAATATAAGATATTTAAAAAAAATAAAATTTTATTAATAATGTTATTCTAATATTATTTTATATATATATATTTTTAATATTTTTTTATAAATAGAATATTAAGTGAATGATATTTTCAGAAATTTATATTTTATTTTTTTTTAAAATAAAATTATAAACTTTATTTAATAATTTTTATTGATTTATGTGATTTCATACAGTAGTATCTTATAAGGAAAGCAATAGGTTTGTCTTACTTCTATGCATTGCGCTGCAGCTGAGGATTTTATTATTATTATTATTATTATTATTTTGCCCTGGTTAGTTGGCGGGAACGTAGCTCGAGCTCATTAATTACGCATTGGCCTTTTCAAAGTCCTTTTCATCATCAACGTTATTTCGGCCCGATAAACTTCGTAATGCTTTTCCGTATCTTCAATCAATATTGGCAAGCTAAAATTTTTAGATACTCGCAATCTCCCTCAGTCCCTTGGGCCATTTAAAATTTTTATGCAGCTTATGTTTCAACTTTCAACTAATTAACCAAGGGATACTTGTCTTAGTAGTTAGGGATTAGGATAGCTTAACTTAGGATATCAAGTTCAAGTCTTAGAAAATGCAGCAGCATAGTTAAATATGTAAAATATGTCTAGCTAGTGATATTCGTGAACCTCCTCAAAAATGGCCTCATCTAAACGCGAATCAACTAATTACTTCATTACCAACTCTTCTTATTGATATACGCAAAGGTGAAGAACTTTTTCATTTTTTGCACCATTTTTTAGTGGCTTAGTTTAATCATTTAAAATTTCAACTATATCTATTTATTTCTTCATCTCGTCATTTTTTTTATTTAATAGTATTTTTAACTATTGAATTCTCTAGAGCAGATCGATTATCTTTGGAGCATTCATTCCTAGTAGATGGACTCATTTTGTTACCTAATAACTGATATTCTGCTCCAACCACAATAAATCATAATTAATTAATTTACATTTTACTAATAATGTTAATTAAAATATTAAATTCTTAAAATGTCAACATCTTTTTATTTACACTTTCATTAGGTACTATATATATAAAAATCTTAATAATAATAATTAAAATTTTAATATGTAATTTTTTAAAAAAGAGTAATAAATAATGCAGTAATATAGTTGAAAAAATAAATATAAAAATTATTTAATATTTTTATATTTCAGATAAAAATTTTAATAAATATTTTATTGTGATATGGTGGTATTTAAAAAAAAAAACCTCAAATCAAACTAATGTTTTTTTTTTAATGTACCAAATTGTCCTAGTCAACCTCTCCTTGGAGAAGAAGCCGCTGGAGCCACCAGAAACATGAATTTTTCGAATTTAAATTACAATTAAACAACCTGTGTGCTTATGAGATTGGGATCACCGAGCGATGTAATTCTGGTTGTGTCTATAAAGGAGACTTGGCCGCTCCCACCATTTTCCTCCTTATCTGCTTCACTCTGGAATCTTCCATTCGACCAAAAATGGCGAACGTATTGGAATTGCTTCCGAAAGAATATGGCTATGTGGCTATCGTCCTCGTTATCTACTGCTTTCTCAACTTCTACATGGCAGCTCAAGTGGGCAAAGCTCGCAAGAAGTAACTACCCACTCAATTCAATCTTTTTAATTTCTCAATATTTTACATGGTCATTTGCTTACGAGATGTTTGTCGAAATTCCTGGCAGGTATAAAGTGTTTTATCCCACCCTTTATGCGTCCGAATCCGAAAACAAAGATGCAAAGCTCTTCAACTGCGTTCAGGTCTCACTTTTATCACAATCCAGAATTTTTTTTTTTTGTTGCTCTTGGATTTTTCATGGATTTTTTTTTGTCACTTGTGTAGAGAGGGCACCAAAATTCTCTGGAAATGATGCCTATGTTCTTCATGCTAATGATTCTCGGTGGGCTAAAGCATCCCTGCATTTGTGCTGCGCTTGGAGTTATCTACGTTGTTGCTCGATATTTCTATTTCACTGGCTATTCTACCGGCGACCCACAGAACCGGCTTAAGATTGGGTTTGCTCCCTCTGCTGTTGTCTTCTTAATTTTTTGCTAAAAAAACGCCTTTCTGATCAAATTTATATGTAGTTGTAGTTGTTTGGTTTGTCTAATTAAACTTTTTTGTAAATTAATGAATATCCTTACAGGAAATACGGGATGTTGGCACTTTTCGGTCTGATGATTTGTACAATCTCGCTTGGGTACAGCCTCCTTCAGCAGCCTGCTAGCCCCTGATTGTGTTCCTGGATTTTGTAGTTCGTGTCTTTACCATGTTCTTGTACCCGGCTTCGTTTTGCAATCTTGTATTGTCTGGTAGAAGGGATGGTGAATAAAATTGAGGGTCTGATCTTAGTAGTCAATGTATCTGTATTAAAACTAGTTGGGTTTTCAGTCCAGTGAAACTCCAACCTTGTTTCTGTGATCTTTATAATTGAAAAATTATGTTTGTTTTTGTGCTTCAATTCCTCATCTTTAATTCCTATCTGGTTTTACACTGGATGAAGATTTGTATGTTTGATTGTTTAGTGCTTATTTTTCTTGAACTGGTTACACTATATTTTGGCCCCACTAGAGGCTGTCTATTCTCATTTCACATGGAATTGAAATTAAGATTCACTGTCTTCAACTTATGTTGTGACAAACTTGCGTTTGTTCTCAGCTAAGTTAATACAGTCATGGTGATGATACCAATGATGCCAGAATGGTCATGACTTCAGTTATGAAAGCTTGTGTGCTGTACGAATCGAACTTAAAATTAAAAATCAGAAGGGCTATGGTTTTTCAAGTCGAATCTGTGCCAATGTAAAAGATGCTTATTTACCTCGTTTAGGGTTGGATAACGTTCAAATATATTCAGACAGTCACAATTTTTTAGCCTTGAAGGCAAACTTGTGATCTTCAGAGCTAGAAGGAAGTGGTCATCTTATTTATGGCAAGTGACAGAGGCAAGGTATTTTCTTTATTATATTTTTGGACCAGAAGCAAGGTATTTAAAAGTAGCTTATATCGTTACTAAAGTGGGAATATCTGTTCATTACAATACGGGCACGAGACTTGTTATACTGAACTTCAGCAGCACGAGGCATTGAGAGTCTCAGGTACAGGTTACTACTGCACAAGTGCTGTGTCAAGCATGGAATGCAGCGATGTCAATGGCTTTGGTGGTGGCGGCAGCAGGGTTTGGTGCCGGAGCATCAAACTTGCTGAAGAGCTTGTAGGAGGAGATGAGTGAAAGCAGCGCATAGCAAACCACAGCTAGGAAGGTGATGGCGACCGATGCCGTGGCCTTGTGACAAAACCTGCCAAAATACCCACAAGCTGAGCTCCAGAGTGTGGAGTCGTTCCCCTTCTCCGCCAGGTACAGAGCTTCCGTTGACACCGAGCCAGCACCCAGAATTATGTAAGTTAGCAACTGCACCAACACAAATAAACTCACTTTTTAAACACCCTTCTTGCTGACTTTGTGTCCGTAGTTCCTTCACATGTGGTGGTGATTCAGGAGGTATAAAGTGAAAAGATGTTAATATCAAAGTAAAAGGAGGGAAAGGAAGAGATGAAATGACCTGGTCAAGCAAAAAGAAAGTCCAAGCTCGAGACATGGTGGAAGGGCGAGGCATAGCAACAATGGCTGCTGAAATGAGTGAGTAACCTGCACAGATACCATTGGCATGCACCAGATACCTACGGGATGCAAATTAAGAAGCTTGTTTCATCATCACAGTATATTTCTCATCTAGATCTTAAGTCAGAAAAAAAAATCCTAAATTATGAGTCTCTGTTTGTATTTCCATGTTGGGAGTCCTGAATTTTAGCTTTTGTCCCAAAGATCAAGAAAATTAAAATCCCATATTAAAACAGTTGCAATTTGTGAATCTGCATAATTCCTGTGGTAGTATTCTGTAGGTATCTAGATTGGTGATGTGTTATGCTTGTGATATTTTGAATGATTATGATGCTGTGATGAAGAGTATGTATGAAAGAAGATGAAAGAGAGAGGAGAGGAAGAAACCTGAAGGCGCCAAGGTCAGTGTAATCCAGAGAGCCATAGTCGTTGGCTTGGGAGTCGTTGAGCATGAGGACAAGGGCTGCAACGGAGAGGCCGATGGGAAGGAGACGAAGGAAGGTCTCAGAAGTACGAAGGGCAGAGGAGTTTTCATCTTCGTCGTCAGCCCTCACAGGCCTTGCTGCTGCAACGACGCTACTTTTCTCCATGGCTGAGGTCTCACGAGAAGAAGAAGAGATAAATGGTGGGGCAGGACAAGGAGGTGAATAAAAGTAAGGTTGAGTTATATAAGGAAAAGGGGTTCGGGAGGCAGTTGAGGGAGGTGGGCGGAGCATTGAATGCCATTAAGGCGAAGGCGAAGAAGCCACGCATTCCCAAGGCACATAGATAGACCATAGACGACCTCTCCTTCCATGCTCCATGCTCCATATCGCCCGTTGCTGCTCTCTCTTTTACCCGATATATGATCGTCTGCTATCAGATAAAAGTATAAAACTATTTGCTTTTTATATTATCGGTTTTATTTTTTTAAAAAAACATAAATATGTTATCTATTTTTTAATTATCAGTTTCATTCAGAACAACTGATCAATCTTTACAGTTAATTGGTTGATTTGAAATAACTCAACTTTTTTAATTTTTCGATTTTCTTACCTTCAATTATAATTTTTGGATTCGAACAACTCACTTTTATGTTTTATAATGATATCATTATATTTAAAATAACTTCATATTGTTTTAAAATGGATGGATTTGATGGAAAAAAAAAACATAGGTGGATGAATTTAGTTATAAAACCTTTTTTTTCTGATTAACATTAAAAAATTGAGATAAGTTAAGTCAACGTATGGTTGACAATTCAAATTTGATTCGTAAATGTAAATTTATGATAGAAAACCAAATTCAATGAAGTGGTTATTTTGTTGCCAACACCACCCTTTATACAATATAATATAATATAATATATATATATATATATTACAATAAAATTATAGTATATTGAAATATAATTTTGTTAAAACTAAATAAATATAGTTTCTTTTATTATTATCCCTGTTAAAAAAATGTAAATATTTTTTAAAAAGTTGGATGTTCAAAAATATAAAATATTTTAAATATTTAATATATAATTAATGTGTTTTTTAAAAGTTTCATAATAAATAAGTTATTTTATATTTATTTTAAAATAAAATAATATATTAAATAAAAATAAATATAAAAAATATGGTATTAATTTAAAAATAAATAATTATTTTATTAAAAAAAAATGAGATGCACGCCCTATGCAAGGAATCACGCTGAGAAAAAGAAGATGGAGCACGAAGTTCAAACTTCAAAGTCACGACCATTATTAAGGGTGACGAGCGACACGCTCACCTTAGGCTTCTTGCACAAGATACTGGTTAATATTTCCCGATTTTCAAAAAAAATAAGATGAAATATTATTTTTTTTACAAAAATTTACATATTTTTATTCTATTTTCATTAAATAGTTTATATAGGTGTCTTTATAATAATAATAATAATAATTAAAATTTTAATATATTATTTTTAAAAATACTAATAAATGAAGGAGAGTATAATTAAAAAATAAATTTAAAAAGGACAAGACTTAAATACTTAACCTTATATATTTAATAAATTTTTATTCAATAAAATTAAAATAAATGAATTATAACATGTTAATAATATCAATAATAAAAATTTGTTAAACAATAAATAACTTATAAAAAATACACGTGTTTTGATTTAATTAAAAATCATCACGTCAAGCATATAAAACTAAATATTTCAGTTTTCTATTTTAAAAAAATATTTAATATCATATATTTTGAATCATATAAGGGTTTCAAAAGGTATTTCATGATATGATACGGAGGGAGTAATCAACAGTTCACAGTAAAGAGGCAAAAGAGAGAACGAACAAGGTTGAAGCAATATTTCTTTGCACTCGAATAACGCGTATTTTAAGATTTTGATACCAAAGCCTTCACGAAAAGCAAGTGAGCAAGCAGGCAAGTACGTGCAATTATTAACTTTTCTATAGATGAAATTAAAGGTCAGCATTCAGCAAATGTTTAGGTTAAAAAATTTACAACTAACTTTAAAATCAATTGAAATTAGTAAATTAAGATTAGGAAAAAACTCTATAACTTTAACATAATTTATGTTCAAAATTTTTTTAAAATTAGTTGAATAAATTAAAATTTATTTGAATGATTTAATTTAAAAGTCAATTTAGATGTGTAATAACAAAAAAGGACATAAATTTTATGATTTTTTTTGTGATTAATTTGACATTTACAAATATTAAAATTTAAATTACAAATGTATTTTTTAAAAAACATATAATTAAAAAATCTAAAATAAATTGATATAGCCCTAATATTAATTATTTAATTATTTTTATATATTTTTCTTTTCATATGATTAGCAATTAAAAACGGATGCACTGAAACTGAACATTCAAGGAGAAATTATTTTAATTTTAAAATAAAATTAAAATTTCATACTGGGAAGACAGAGTTTCTATGATATTGCCATGTTGGGAAAACATCGATCAAATGGGCACTTGATCTCAAAGAGTGTGGTGTTTCAGGAGAGATAATGCAGGAGAGAGAAGCTGACACCAAAACCCATTTTTCTAGGAACGGGGTTTAATAAGCTCCTTTTCCCAGCTTCGATAGCAACACTCGTTTTCTCCAGCTGCTTGTTTATTATGATTATTTTTTCCCCTCCTGAACACGGGGAAGGGGCTTTTTATCTCTTAACTGAGGTTGCCAACCTCAGTTTGAATTAATCTCAGTTAAGAGATAATCTAAACATACACTCAATCTCACATTCTAATAAAGTTAACAAGAGGGTAGTATTGAGAATGTCTGTTTTTAATGAAATTGAGTTTTCATTGGGTCACAATACCTGTTGACTTTTTATGAATTTTTCTTTATAAAAAATCGAGACCTCGAAAAATGCTTAATGACTCTGTTGCAATGATGGGATGGTATCCGAGATAATTGTTGAAGCCTTTCATCAATTTTCATGTATGTCACGAACAAGACACCCACAAGCCGTAGTTCTAGTTTGGCAAACGGGGACCATCAATATGCAATCTTGACAATTCAAGTTGTGGTGGGTACCATTGAAAGTGCACAAACGTATATCCCGTAGGCGGCTTATTCATCCTAACTTTCAACTTAACATCAGTTATGCTTGGATGAGCACCCTTGAAAATAGTATCTTCCATGGGATTTGGACGAAGTCATGATACGTGGACCGCAAGGGATCAACTTTATGGCCCCCGCTCCACCTGACACCCTCATAAATGTGTTTCGATAAGTAAGCCCATCACTCGCGGACCCTTTGCCATCTGGAGTTTTCTTGTCTCTGTTACCCTTTTTTTTCATTTCCTCTCTACTATTTTAAAATAAAATCTAAACCGTTTAAATAATCCATTTAAATTTTTTATTTTTATTTATATTTTATATTTATTAAAATTAAAATTTTTAATAAATATATTTTATTACCAATCAAAACAATCAGATTTAATTTGAAGGATTTAAAAATTATAAGTATAAAATACAAATCAAAATAAAAAATAAAAACTTTAAATCTAGACCATCTAAATTTAATTTGTATCAAATATAAACAGTTTAAATTTTATTTTAAGGTAATGGAGGAGAAATGAAAGTGAAGGATAATGAAAACAAGCCAAGTCCTCGCCCTTTGGTGTCATCCACTTAGACTAGAAAATGAATTGCACTATACTATTCCCTCTGTTTATATATATATATATATATATAAAATTATATTATATAATTTAAAAAAGTTAGTTAATCATAATAATTATATTTAAAAATAAAAAAAGTAAACTAAAATGCCCTATGTTAATCAATATAAGTATATATTAATTATTTCTTGTTAATGTAAATTATGAGGGGTGATTTAAAAAAATGTATAACAAATGTTTATTGAAACAGGCGATTTTACTTATATAAAAATAAAAAAAATGATAGTTTCTCTTACAAATAAAAAATGAGGGCATATGTCAATACAAACAATATAATTTGTTGTAGATTTTATAGTTTATTTTAAATTTAAATTAAATATCAGTGATTGTATATGATATTCTAAACTTCACTTGACTTTAATTGAACATAGGCTGCGTTTAATTATAAACTGTCAATTTGTCTTATTCTTGGCATTAATGTTTTGGTTTTATTTTCGACATAACAATGTCATGTTTGTGTTGGTCAACACTCAATACAGATGCATTACTTCCCAACACTGAACGCGCAAGTAATCATAGGTGGCTAAATGGGTGTTTGGATTTTTTTTTTTAAATCATAATTTTAGATTCAAATTTAATTTTAACATGTGACAATGCAAGTTTGGCCCCGACATATTCAACAAACAAAGAATAACATGGATTATTAAATTTAATATTGCGTGATTCATAATTTTTAAAACTCCATACAGAATGCATGGGGCCGCATCAACTGATTTTCACATGCCCTCTACAAGTTTTGATATGTTTGAAGCGTATCCTCTTGTGTGACATGGATTCAAGTATAGCCTGTCCAGTTGCGACGATGATTAGTCAGCTTTACTGATGACGTGGCTTACTGCAGTGTTAAGTGGATGCCACGCACGCTTGGAACAGTTGATTGGGCTGAACTCAGAAGTGTAACTCATGGAGAAGAAGCCCACATAGTAACCACCTAGCTTCGAGTGCATTCTGCGATTTCGTTTTATTATATTCCCCCAATCCTAAATTTAAAAATATTTTTAAATAAAATCACACATATCAATAAATTTTATTAAATACATTTAATAATTTTATTTTTTTAAAATAAAAGTATAAACTTTTAAAAATATCTATCATTTCATATATTAAAAAGAGAAAAGATAAAAGTTAACCATAGAGAGAGAAAAAATGATATTGAAATCAGTATATTTAATGAGACATTAATCTATTTAAAATATTTTATATTTTAAAATAAAAAAATTCTTTAAAAATATTCTATAATTTGAGATGGAGGGAGTAAGATATGTATATAGTTGTATAAAAACATTTATGGTTTTCCGTTCTTGTCGTATTAATTTTCCCCCTTGGTTGTTTGTGTCTTGATAGCTACAATCAATGTGTGCAGCATACTTTTTAAAAAATAAATTAATTAATTAATTTTTTAAACTCTCAATTTTTAATTTATTTATAATTCAATCTCTCAATTATGACTTACTGTGACTCAATCTTTTAATTATAATTCAGGTCCTTAACTTTTGAATCACTTATAATTTAATCCATCAACTTTTGTTTTTTTTTTATGTTAACTTAGATCTCAAATTAAATAGCAAGAGGAGAGGATTTTAGAATAATATATAA